CTGTGTGACTTTGCATTTCAAATATCTGACAGTTTTCTAACTTGCCTTGATTATTTCTGATATATCCAGGGTCTTGTGCCCAATTTTTGCCACATTAACGTGGGCAACTGGGTCACTGGCCAAAATAAGCAAAATGAGGGTGTTTTTTAAACCAAAACAATGACTGCTTACTGGGCAATGGACCAAATGCCAATAGTGGAACTAATGTTCAAGATCCAGAGAAGTCAAGCAATTTACCAAAGGCCACACACTTATAAGTGATGGAACCAGAACCCAGTAGCCTGCTGTCTGACCTTGTACTCCACTACAGCACAAAAACAGAAGGCAGATTATAAAACTCCCAGGGCCTTGCAGGTGTAATTGGTCAACAACCAACTAAAACATTCTGAGTTCCACTGAAACCGGTTTGGCTCTGTGGATAGAGCATTGGCCTGCGGACTGAAAGGTCTTGGGTTCAATTCCAGTCAAGGGTATGTACCCTGGATGTGCAAGAGGCAGTTGATTGATGTTTCTCTCTCATCGATGTTTCTGATTCTCTATCCCTCTCTCTCTTCCTCTGCAAAAAATCAATATAGTTTTTAAAATGTCTAAAAAAATAGAAAATAAAATAAATAAAACATCCTGAGTTCCAACAAGATGCCAGTATCACATCTGAGTCTTTCTTTTTCCACTTCCACTGGATCTGCATGTACAAGGGCTCACCTTCAAGGCACTGTGCTTCTTAGCAAAGTGACATTTCCATGCACAGTGAGGCATAACCTTGGATCTGAGCCACTCTACAGCCAGTAGCACTGATTCTATTAGCCACAGACTACAGGCTGGACCGGAAAGCTCGGTATTCTCTTTCTCATGCAGGGAGTGGCCGAACATTATAATCCATCCGTTTGTTTTCAATAGGCCATAGTTTAAAGGGTCAAAATGAATGTCAGGAAATCATCCTCTCTCATCACTCAGATGGTCTTATATAAGTCAATCTCTCTGGGACTTGATGATCCCTGACAAGAGACAGGGGTGGTGATTAAATTGTGGGAGTGGGTGATTAAACTATTTTGAGTCCTGGACTCGTTCAAAGAGCCATTCTGGGAAAAGCTATTTTGAGAAAATATCCAGAAAAACTGCACTCGCGTGCACACACACACAGGCTCATATACCTCAGAGTTTGAATACTGTGGAAGACTGACTAATGGCTTTCCCAAAGGTGTTCATGTTCCAATCTCTGAATCTTGGGAATGTCACTTTATAATTTATACGGCAAAAGAGACAAAGCAGATGTGAAGTAAGGATCTTGAGATGGGGATATCATCTTCGACTATCCTGGTGGGACCGATATAATCACGAGTCTTTATAAGAAGGCCACAGGAGGAATCAGTGTCAGAGAGAAGGCAAAGTATCAACAGAAGAGGAGTGTGGAGGACTGAGAGTGATGCCTGAGAAATTAGCCACGGCTGGCTGTGAAGATGGAGGGGGTCATGAGCCAAATCAAGGAAATGGATTCTCCCCTGCGCCCTCCCAAAGGAACATAGCCTTGCTGACAGCTTGATTTCAGCGCCGAGACCGGGTCTGACGAGGAAAAAACATATACTGTTTTTACAGGACTCTGAAACAAATTTGCCTTGTTTTTTTTTTTTTTTTTTTTTTAATATATTTCTTTATTGATTTCAGAGAGGAAGGGAGGAGAGAGAGATCGAAACATCAGTGATGAGAGAGAATTGAGCAGCTTCGTCCAGCACCACCCCCACTGGGGAATGAGATGGAAACCCAGGCATGTGTTCTTGGCCGAAATCAAATCTGGGACCCTTGAGTGGGAAGGCTGACGCTCTATCCATTGAGCCAAGCCGGCTAGGGCAAATCTGCCTTGTTTTAAGCCATTGCATTTGTGGTTACTTGTTAGAATGGCAATAGGAAATGAATACACATACCAACACATTTCAATTTATGGACACACATGCCTGTCATGAATGACACCCTATGGATTAAGATCTCTTAAGGTAGTTTCTCGGACAAGCATTCTGATCCCGCATGCAGATGCTCCACCATAGGCAAAACCCTTGCTCCTGTAAATTAAATGTATTTATGTTATAAAACACTGCATTCTATTTCTTAAGGTGGTTTAAAGTGCAACCCGGGCATGTGCCCTTGACTAGAATTGAACCTGGGACCCTTCAGTCCAGCACTCTACCAATTGAAAAATAATAGCTAGGGCTATTATAAAATATTTTATTATAAAATATTTTATTTCATATTCCATTGGAAATGTGAGAAACAAATCCCTAAAGGGGGAAAAAATCACCAATCTGGATCTATGAGGTGCTTTATTGTATATATACTTAATAAATCCAGAGTAATCGGCTTTTTGTTTGATTTTTCACTTTGAAATCATTCAAATTTGAGAAAGCTGCCTACAAAATAAGCATCTTTAAAAGATCCTATGAGATCTATATTTTGTTGGGTCAAAAACCGTCCAAGCATTCACTGGCAGACCTAGAACAGTAAAATCTTGTAGGCAGTTCAGTAGTGCCTGCCATCAGGGCGTTCTGCCGCTTTCTCATGATTTTCTAGAACTCGCCCACGTGCCAGTTTCTTCCTTGCCCAATGCTCTCCCAGCCCCTTCCCGGAGCTTGGCGAGACGGGGTATTCCGACCAGGGGTGCCAGCGCCGTCTACAGCACCCAAACCCGCCGGAGTGGCAGCAGGTCGTGGCTCTGGGCGCCCACAGTGAGCGCCCGCGCGGGTTGTGCGCCTCCGATCCGGCCGTCCGCTGGAGTGGCGTCTGTCTTCCCAGGCTTACAATCGCCCTCCAAATCGCCATCCTCTGTCTCTGACGGCGTGGACGTGCTGTGCACCCCAGGTTGGCCAGGCGCAGTCATGGCACCGGGATCAGACCTGGCGCCGCCTGCAGGCGCCCGCCCAGAATTTGAACCTTCATTCACACAGCTCCGGTCTGTCATCGTCTTCTTTGCTTAGATGATCACCATAATCTCCTAACTGGTCTCCCTGCTTCCAGGCTTTGTCCCGCTTACACACATTTACACGTGGTAGCTAAAGTCATGTAGGCTGACTGTCCCTCATCCAGCTAAACCCTCCAAGGACCCTACGCGACCTGCAACCCACCCGCATCCCCACCCAGTTCCCGGCGCACCAGCCACACAGGCTTCCAAAACGCGAGGGGCTCCGGTGCGGGGGCTCTGCCTTGTTCCCTCTGCCCAGGAGTTCTTCCGCCGGTAACAAACCCTTCATTTAACGGAACGGAGGAATCCAGGAACATAAGCGTCCTGCGTTTGCGAAGTGACTTGGTGCATTGATTCTCATCATCTTCAGAAGAGTTACTGCTCTCCTTCCCCCTCCCCCTCCCCCTCGAAGGTAAAAAGAATGCCCCATCAACCCTTAATACTAAAGTGTATCTGAATGTTCGTTTTAATGCATTCCTCTGCTATAAGGAAGCTAGACTTCCTAACCCAAGATCAGGATGCCCTCCAGCGCATGGGGCATGTTCATTTTAGAGTCCTGACTGGTTTGGCTCAGTGGATAGAGCGCCGGCCTGCAGGTCCCAGGTTCCATTCCGGTCAAGGGTTTGTACCTTGGTTTCGGACACATCCCCAGCAAGGGGAAGGGTGGTGGTGGTGTAGGAGGCAGCTGATCAACGTCTCTCTTTCATGGATATTTCTAACTATCCCTATCCCATCCTCTCTGTACAAAATCGGTAAAATATATTAAAAAGAATGATGAAAGAAAACTTGAGAGCCTCACCATTGGAGAGCTTATTACAAATTGTTTCCCCTACTACCCAAGTGAAACCTGATTTCATACAGAAAACAAAACAAAGGGAAATATAAAAAAAGTGTGAACACTCTCCTAATGTTGGGAGTTATTTTCCGCTCTTTTTTCTTTCTTTCTTTTTTTTTTACTTAACCATGTCCCTTTATTATAAACATAGTTACTTAATATTCTTCTCATAAAAGTAACAGGTTAAGCCACTTGCTAAGCTTTTGCCATTAGGGTTCTTTGGAAAGCTTCTTTGTAACGGACGCGATACACTTACAGTCGACATGTATACATTTGAAGCACAATCCTCGGCTTTATTGTCCCAAGTCAAAGGTCCTGGACACCTGTCGGCGTGCAGACACTGTCACATTGCTTATCAAAACTGTCCCTGACATCCGCGCCCTCTTTATCAATCCACAGAAACACGCAATCACGGACCCCTTTCAATCCGCGGACAGCCGCGTTCCCGTTACAAACTTAGAAGGGAAGCCTAAGGGCTGTGAGCGGAGATCTCAGGACTTGCCGCCGACTTCTCCCCGGATTCACTCGGAGGAGATTCGCTCTTCCGGGGCCGGGCCGATCCTCCCGGACCCGTGGGACCCCCCCGGCGGGGCTTCCCTCCCTCTGCCCACTGCCTTCTGCACGGCTCCGCGCCCAGCTCCCGCCGGACGCCGCGGGCCTGGGAGGCTGAAGCGTCGAAGTCACCCGCACCCCACCATCAGCCCGCACTGACAGCGCGCGCCGCTCTGCCCACCGGGCCACCCGATCGCAAACGGAAAACCCGGAAACGGCGGAGGTCGCGAGCTCCCTCCCCGAGCCTCCGCCGGCGACTCCCTCCGGCTCCGGAACCCGAGGCAGCCCTGACTCATCGAGCGCGGATATGCCGCGCGGAGGGGCCTCGCGGGCTCAAGCCCCGGCCCTAGGTGTCTGTGACGAACGCCTGACCCCGAGCCCTCCCCGTCCCTGCGAACCCGGAGCGGGCGTGGCGCAGGCGGCCGCACAGCGCCCCGCCGGCCAGGCCCGACGAGTCGAACGCGGAGCTCGGGAGCAGGCGGAGGCCGGCGCGGGGCTGGGGCTCAGCTGGCCCGCCTGGCTCTGGGCTGCGGGCCTTTGCAGCCGGGGACTCTGCGCCTGCGCCCGGCCGGCCGCTGCCCGCTCTACCGGCGCCGCCGTGGTCCCGGCTGCGGCGCGCCGCCTGGGTGTCTGGGCGATCCATGGGCAGCGGCGGCGAGGGCCACGATGACAGACTACGGCGAGGAGCAGCGCAACGAGCTGGAGGCTCTGGAGTCCATCTACCCCGACTCCTTTACAGGTGACTTCCGCGGCCGCGTGCCCGCCGCCGGGAGTCCCGGGCCGGGCTGGGGTGGGATGGGCGGGAGCCGCCGCCGCCGCCGCCCTCGGCTTCCCGGGCCGCGATGGGGAAGGGACGGCGAGGCCGCCTCTCCCGCCCCCTCTCTCCCCTGGCTCTTCCCGCGAGGAGCTCGGGCACTTGGGGCCACTCCGCGGCTGCTGCTCCCCGTCTGCTCCCCGGAACCTCCAGGTCCCGGCGAGGCTGGCCAGGTCCCCGGCGACGGTAAGGCCCGGAACCCCATCCCGGGCGCTTGGGTGTCGGTGTAACTTACAGCAGCCGGAGGCTGGACGGAATTAACACGAAACACACATACTCCACGTGGGAGAACGTAACTCCACTCCCAGAGCCGCCCGTCTCCCCATCCTCCACCTTCCTTCGCGGGGGCGGGGAGGGGGGAAGCTGTTTTCCCCGCGATGGATCGCGTTTTCAAGTTTATGGGAATTGAGAGTAGTGTTGGTCTAGAATCAGTTGGAGAGTAGCGTTGTTCTGGAAGTTGGTCGTTTCTAATAAATAAATGAATGAATGAACGAATCCTGGCGTCCTGCAGAATGCCCCATGGGTGAGGTAGGTTCACAGGGTGTCGGGCAGGAAGGGATATTAGACACCGTCCGGCCCGGGCTGCGTGCGGCCAGCGGGGCCGTGGAGGCTCGGGAAGGGAAAGGAAAGGAAGGAAAGGCGGGTGGGTGGCTGGCTCCGGGTCGGCCAGGAAGTTAGCGGCAGGTCTGGTGCGAAGAGTTGGTTGGGTCTGGGACGCCTGTCCTGTACCTTCACCTTCAGACAGGTGGGGTGTGGGATCGGGCTCCAGCTGGGATGAGGGGGAGCAGATTACGTGGCAGGCTGGGGCTAATGGAAGATATTGAGACATTCATTACGGAAAGGAAGGCACCACTTCTGTATTAAGCGGCGCTGCAGGTGATTCTCGAGGTGCAGCAAGTCAGCCGTATCTGTACGGCTTCTCCCACGTTTCACTCGGCTTTTGAGAAGTGATCAAATGAAACCGGTCAGAGCGAGTGGAACCTGGATTTGTGGGGTTTTCTGTTCCCCCATAGCTTCCTTTGGGTGTTGTCTATCCTGGACAGTCAGAATCCAGCGTGTAAGGTTTGTTATTTCAACTCAGAAAACCCCACCCCGCCTCCCTTTCATTGTTTGGTGATAGTTTTCTTAGCTCTGCCTTTGACCACTGCTTGCAACGGTAGCAAATTTTGTTCTGCTTTGCCAACAGGCAGATGTCTCTCAGCTACCCCTGTCTAGCTCCAGTCCTGTTCATGTTCCCTCTCACCAGCAGTACAGCTGTGCTGTGAGGATGTTAATGGGATGAGTGAAGAGGGGTTTGAGAGTGTCATTAACTGGGTGAGTGTGTATGGAGTCTGGCTCCCTTCTCTAACCTTGCTTATATATCAATGTCTAAATTAGTTGGAGTATAGGGTCAGTGGCTGGATCTATTCTCAATTGTGACAAGTGGTCATTCCTGTTGCATTGGAAATGTTACAGGCACGCACACTGTGTAGACAGAGTTAAGAGGGGTGAGATGTGCTCTCATTTTCATTTCTTTGGACATAAAGTATCCCTCATTAAATACTGTGCACAAAAGCACTTATGAAAGTGATACATTTTAACCCTTCAACAGTCTGGTGGTTCTTTTGTATTGCGCTAGGCCCTGACACAGTTCAGTGTATGTACTTCTTGTGGGAGGCAAAAGTGCTTGAGGATTTTGAGTTAGGATAATAAAAGACTAATAATAAATTGATGACTATTTGACGCCTGCAAGTATTCTGCAGTATCAGTTGAGCCCATCAGTCTCTGATTCCTACCAACATCTTTGCAATAAATAAGTTGAGATGTCTTGATTAATAGTTTTTCAAGAATCCAGCCTTACTTGTTAATCATGTTCTTTAGGAAACCCCTCAGGGAGAAGGCAGAGAACTTTGGAATAAAATGTTTCCATGTTTAGTCTTTTGAAATCTTCAGGATTTGCAAGGTTTACTGTTTCACAGCCTTCTATTGTGTTGATGATTTTATACTTTTATATTTTCCGACCAGGTTTAAGAAAGAAAGATTGCTTGTGTCAGTTAGCCGAGGAACACAAATTGACAGGTGTTTTTTTTTAAACTACATTTTGTATCTCACTTAATATTGGATTTTTTTTAAAGATATATTTTATTGATTTTTCACAGAGAGGAAGAGAGAGGGATAGAGAGTTAGAAACATCGATGAGAGAGAATCATTGATCAGCTGCCTCTTGCACACCCCCTACTGGGGATGTGCCCGCAACCGAGGTACATGCCCTTGACCGGAATCGAACCCGGGACCTTCCAGTCCTCAGACTCCACTGAGCCAAACCGGTTTCAGCTAATATTGGATTTTTAATATTATACTTGGTAAATGCTCAATGATGTTGAAGAAGGATAGAGGTATACTAGATATATCTTTTTTTTTTTTTTTAATAGATGATTGACAGAAAAGCCTTGTTAAGCACATTATGACCCTCTTGTGGAAGCAGGAGGCATAGTGCAGCCAGCTGTAGCCCTAGCCATATAGACCTAGCTTAACCCCAGAATTGGTTGCTTAACTATCTGCAACGAACTTTTGGTCCAGGGTTGCATATGTTGTGAATTCTAAACCTATCATAACTATAGCTTGACTGCACATTGATCCAATGTTTCCAGCTACTAGTCTTCCAAAGTATAAACAGACTCTCCTGTAATGCATTCTCCTTCAGTAGTGCTTTACTAGACAAGGCCCAGCTAAAGAAGTAGAATTTGGTCATTTCCATTTCTGTATCAAAATGTCTGGCTAGGAGAAGTTTTGTTGAAACACACGTGTTGACTTTGGGCTAACCAAAAGTCTAGTCCCCCGAATACTGTTTGGCCTTACAAAGAGAGGTAATCCTGTATTTGCTGGGTCAGTACCTCAAAGTAGCAGCCACGAGCCTTTAACATTTATAACTGCATCTTACAGATGGGGCAGAAGTCATCATGTGAAAGCAGTTTTTCTTGGCAGACACTTCCTAAGGAGCAAAGGGCCTGTTTTCACATGGGCTGTCTGGTACTTCCTTAAAACCTAATGTCAGTTGTGTGTCCCTTTCGTGTACTTTTCAGCTACTCTGCCTCCTTTATCTCTGTTTTTGACAGAATCCTCAATTCTGTCCCTCTGTCCCTGTATCACTTACTACTTCTACCCTCCCTGGTTCATTCCACCATGCCCAACAACCTGACTTTTTCTCAAACGCATGTGATCCACTTACGATGGTGGAAGGCTGGTATCTTTAGGAAGGCTTATCTTTCCTCTAATTGTGCCAACAGTAATGCATTGGAACTGGGATTATTCCTTTCGCAGACTACAGAATACAGGAATAAGTCATCTTTGCAAGTCCAGTTAAGGAACTTTCCCATTCCTATTGTAGTCACCTCCAAGCTTTGGAATGTTATTCTTTTCCATGTTTTTTTAAAATACATTTAAAAACAGTAGGTTTAGTTGTGACAGAAAACCTCAAATTACAGTGGTTTCTAAAAGGTAAAAGTTGCCGAAACTGGTCTGGCTCAATGGATAGAGCGTCGGCTTGGGGACTGATGGGTCCCGGGTTTGATTCCGGTCAAGGGCATGTACCTTGGTTGCGGGCATATCCCCAGTAGGGGGTATGCAAGAGGCAGCTGATCGATGATTCTCTCTCATCGATGTTTCTAACTATCTCTCTCCCTTCCTCTCTGTAAAAAATCAATAAAATATATTTAAAAGGTAAAAGTTTATTGCTCTTGCACATGAAAGATAGTTGTATAGTTCTCATCCAGAAATTCCTCAGTTCTTTGTCATCCCCAAGATGTGGTCACCCTCATGGTAAAGATGGTAGCATTCCTTTTCCAGACTGTAGGATAGTTAAAGAAAATAGAGTTAAGGGAATTTCCTAGAAACTGTCAAAGGACTTACTTGCTTCCATCTCAATTAGTTGAAGTCAGTCATTGGGAAGGGAGGCTGAGAAATGTATTTTTATTCTGTGTGGTCAGTGTGCTCAGTTAAAAATGGTCTGATTGGCCCCAGTTGGGTAGCTTTATTGGTTAGGGCATTGTCCTGATATGTCAAGGATGCCTGGAGTGCCCGTTCAAGCCCCCATCAGGATACATACAAGAATCAATCAATGAATGCCTAAATAAAAAAAATAAAACAACAAAACTCTCTCTCCCTCCCTCCCTCCCCCTCCCTCCCTCCCTCCCTCCCTCCCTCCCTCCCTCCCTCCCTCCCTCCCTCCCTCCCTCCCTCCTTCCCTCCCTCCCTTCCTCCCTCTTCCTCTCTTCCTCCCTCCCTTTCTTTTTCTCACTCTTAAAGAAAATGGTGTGACTGGAGGAAGGGGAGAGAGCATTTGGTGGGGTATTAGCAGTGTTCTCCAGTATCCTTTTTTGTTGTTGTTTCTGGGTCACAGTTTTTTCTCCCTAATGGCTGTTGGTGTAGTGGGTATTGTTAGCTCTGTGTCCTTAGACAAATCATATAACCTCTCCAATCCTCAGTTTCCACATCTGTTTAATGAAGAATAATGTAAATGGAAATACTTTATAGCTGTTAAATATAAGACAATCTTCACTGGAAATTTACCTTACTAGTTTCTGATTCTTCTAATATAGCTTTATAATTCCTCATGTTTATCAACAAATAGTTTTGATTTCCATTTTCATCAACTTCTGATGAAAATGGAAATCAATAGCCACACCTTGGAAATGCCATCTTTAAAAATCTGGCCTCTGTGATTCCTCTTTCTGTCTATAAACTTTGTAGCCCTATAGTTCTTTCATCCCCGTACTTTTACTGAACATGCCTTTCATCATGATTTCTTATGGGTTAATTGTATATCAACTTCTTTCGTGGTTCATCTTGCCTCCTATTCTGTCTGGCTCCAAAGGCATGCAGTTAGAGACATTCTTGCTACCGCCCCATGTCATCATTTACCAAGTATTTACCCGGTGAGTCTGTCAAAAGCCCAGTCTGTTGGGAAGAGACACTGGATAAGAAATATACACACAGTGTGACTACTCTTTATGGAGTCTGTATAGGGTGCAGCAGGAGAGAGGGAGAGACGAGAATCGTTTTTGGAAAACGGGGGGTGAAGAGGAGTTCCATGAATGAAGTGTGGGGAAGGACTGCAGCATGAGTGGAAGGAGGGGTCTGTTCAATGGGCTAGTGGCTTGGTATCCCTAGAAGATAAAGTAAGAAGTGGGGGTTGGGGAAAATGAGACCCGACAAGGAAGCAGGGACCAGACCACAAAGGGCCTCGGTAGGAATTTAGACATGATCTTACAGGCCAGGGCCATTGCCTATTTCCTCCCCACCGAGCACAAGCACATACTCATCGTAGGCACATTGGAGGTTCACGCGTGGACACTGCCCTGTCAGACCTGGATCTTGATAGCTGGGGTGCTTCACACATAAAATAGTCTTTTCTTGAATTCGTTTTTACCTTTTCATTTCTGGCACTTTTTCCTCCTCTTAAATTTCGTCACGGAAAATTTAGGGTTCCTTACAAAGCTGGTGTTGGTCCTTATTTCACTCTCCATTTTCTCTCCAGTCTTATAGCTTTAGCTTTCCCTCTTTGTGAATGACCCAAATTCAAGCCAAACCTACCTTTAGCTCCATTTGCTCATTTCTGATTGCATTCCCAATTCCTCCAACCGAAGCTACTCTGTGTCCCTCAGATGTCTCACATTTGATTTTTCTTTTGCATTTCTACTTTGTCAGTGGCTCCACTTTCCTCTGCCTGCATATTCAAAATGTCATTCATCACCTTGTTCCTTGCTATTCCCATTGGTGCCAGCCTCCTTCAGAACCTCATTACCTCTGCGGGGACACTTTCATCAGCTATCAAGTTCATCCTGCTTCTGGCTCCTTTCTTTCCTTTCATTGTATGAACTGTTGCTAGATTTAGCTCCTATGTTTAAAAATACAGTTCTGACCATATTGCTGCTGCTAAAAAACCAAAACCTGTCACTGGCCACAGCAATACTTTCAACTGTGTTTTCAACTATAGTTTTCCTCATTCACCTCACTCACACATAGTCCCATCAAGTGGGATAGTTTCTTATTCCCTATTGTTCCTTAAGCTTTTCCACCATTATACCCTTGCTGCTGTGTTAATCTACATCCTTTTCTCCATCTCTGCTTACCACTGGGCCTTAATTCATAGCCTAGCTCAAATGATTTCGCTGGAATTGCTCAGCTGGGGAAAAAAAAGTTCTTTCTAAACGAAACTCTATAAAGTTATTAAGTTCTGCCAGTTACTACCTGTATAACCTTGGGAAAATTAGTAAAACTCTTTTATCTCTGTTTTCACACCTATAAAACTGGTACGATACAATATTTAATTGATTATAAGACATATTTTTACCTCCCTGCAATATGAATTTGTCTTACAAAATATATCACATATCATAGTTTAATTGCAGCTTTTTTCTTAGTGGTACATAAAAAAGGGTGTATCTTATACTTGATAGCCTTTTAAGTTTGGTGAAATACAGTAATAGTATAAAATCATGATTTTGGTGGGAGAATTAATAGATCTTTATGTAATTGCATAGCACAGTACAGGCACAAAGAAATGCTCAATAAATGTTAGCTGTTATTGGCTATAGGTGATTCCTAACTTACCACCTCATGAAGTCCTAGAAAATGGTAGTAAATTATAATGTCATTGTGTTGAACCTTTATTTCTGTAGTTTTAGTGTTTACATTTCTTGACATGTAAATACTAAAGTTGGTCATGAAAAGAAATAAGAATGAAATACATAAAATATTTTACACATTTTTTTTTAAGGTAGAGCCAATCATAAAAGCTTTATTATAATTTCTGTTCGGGGACTTTTTCATCATGGGCTGGCCTGCCTGAGGCCTATTAAAATAGGAATCCAGCCCTAGCCTATTTTGCTCAGTGGATAGAGCATCGGCCTTCAGACCGAAGGTCCCACGTTTAATTCCAGTCAAGGGCATGTACCTTGGTTGTGGGCACATCCCCAGTGGGGGGTGTGCAGGAGGCAGCTGATCTATGTTTCTCTCTCATTGATGCTTCTAACTCTATCCCTCTCCCTTCCTCTCTGTAAAAATCAATAAAATATATTTCAAAAAGAATAGAAATCCAGTGCATCTTTTATCTTTCCAACAAATACCTCTCAAGTAATCGTAGATGTTCATCATTGTTTCAAGTACTTTTAAACTTCAATTAAAATGAAGGCAGAAGTCTTAAAAATTTTTATTGTTAGTGAATATTCATGAAGGCCTCAGAAGTTCTGGAGTAGGGAGAGCTGACTGGTTTCCAGAGTATCCTCTGCAGAGATCCCATGCTCTTTCATTTCAGAGGGAGGCTGCTGATGGGATTCCACCCAGTCAGGGGCCAGTGCTTTCCAGGCCTGGAGTGGGGCACAGGCTTTTCTCATGGACTCAGCAGCTCTCATGGCTGCTTGACTTTCCTTGTTTGTTCTTGTAATGGTTCTGAATGCAAGTTTTCTTTGTTTGGTTCCAGAGATGCTGTGGGAGAGATACCTAGAAGACACTAGCTCTAACAAATTAATACTTACCATTTGTCATGGAGATTCTGAATTATATTTCAGAGTATATAAGTACAAAAATTAGTGAGAATACTGAATATTTATCAGTGGCTAGTTTCCAATAAGAAACGTCAAACTTTTTGTTATTCCATTTAGGAATTTTTTATAATATAACTTTCCACATATAGTGGAGATTTTGAATGAAAGGAAAATTACTTACTTATTTTAATTGATTTAATAAAACTCCAGGAAGGTATCTACTATGGGAATTTCTTTCCAGATTAAAGACAACCCAAGATTTAAATAGAAAATTGATGGATATGTTTCATCATTTGTGTGTTCTAGTTAGTCTGTATTTGCGGAAATGGAATCAGTTTCCCTGAATGGGTAGTGATATTTGGCTAATGAGGAAAGCATCTTAATAACTTACCCTCTCTCTCTATATTTTCCTGCAGTATTATCAGAAAACCCTCCTAGTTTCACCATTACTGTGACATCCGAGGCTGGAGAAAATGATGAAAGTAAGTATAAAAAAAAATACTTGTGGTTTTTCTAAGCCTCTCAGGAATTTTACTCATTCCAGAGCCATTCTGTGATGGGCCTTGCAGGTGCAGAGGTGCTGGGTACTTGTTAAGAATCTGGTGTAAGTGTGCATTTCTAGTTGGTATACCATGTAAACATGACTTCTAGAGAAATAGAAAATCAGTAAAATACATTCTGACACAATACCAGTAAGCTTAGTTTTTAAAAGCAAAACAGAAACATTAATGATACATCAGATGGAAAAAAAGTAAGATATTTTTTGGCCCAAACAAGACTTGGCATACGCATGTATTCCAGTGGTTGTGTGGTATTTCATTCAGTGACTATTATTTTTCCATGACTTTTTTATCTTTGGACATTTAGATTGTTTACTGGATTTTTGCTGCTATAAATTAGTCAAGATAAACACCTATCTGCGTGTTTTTCTCTCTCTCTTTAGAATGGATATTCTACTATTATTTAAATATATATATATATATATATATATATATATATATATATATATATATATATATATAGGTGAGTTAGGTGAAAAGTTTCTCAAACAGCCTCTCACACTGTCTACTTCAAAACATGTCATCTAACAACCCATCTCATCCCCTGCTGGCGATGTGCATATAGAAATATAGGCCCCAGGGCTTACGCCGGCCTGGTCTTCCACACTGGGACCTGCCTGTAGTAGAGGCTTAAAAATGAGCCTAACACAGTACTTCTGTGTTGTATTTTGTACCTTTTGTTCATCTTGAGGGTTTTAAACATAGTGTAACTTGTTTTTCGTTAACCTTGTTTTTCTTTGCAGGAAAATCTTTTGAGCTTTTTATTGACCTGTAAATTAATTACTGATTCAACAAAGATGTTGACTTCTCTATACTTTACACTTTTAAGGTATTCATAGCAAACTGTTTTCTGGTGTTTTTAGCTGTACAGACTACCCTCAAGTTTACATATAGTGAGAAATACCCAGATGAAGCCCCCCTTTATGAAATATTCTCCCAGGAAAATCTAGAAGATAATGATGTCACAAGCATCTTAAAATTATTAGCATTACAGGTAAGGATTGTAATGGATTATTTTTTTTAGTCTTAAGTATTACACATCAATTGCAAGAGTCAACAAATTCTATTAAACATGTATAATTAGTACACTAAAAAGCAGAATTCAGCTGAAACCTGTTTTGCTCAGCGTCGGCCTGCGGACTGAAAGATCCCAGGTTCGATTCCAGTCGGGGGCATGTACCTTGGTTGCGGGCACATCCCCAGTAGAGGGTATGCAGGAGGCAGCTGATCGATGATTCTTTCTCATCGATGTTTCTAACTCTCTGTCCCTCTCCCTTCTTCTCTGTGGAAAATCAATAAAATATATATTAAAAAAAAAAAAAAGCAGAATTCATTATATGCAGATATATTTGTTTGTTTCCCACTCTGTCTTTAGACTTAAGCTATTCCTGTATCCCTGTTTTGAACTCAGTCAGCCCCATGACTTTTAGATATAAAAAGTCTGACAAGTAAAAGCGCAATTTCAATTAAATTCTCAGAATATCCAGTTCCAGGTGCAGTTAAAAATTCCAACTGAAAAGAATTGAAATTTTCAACCCCTCTGACCTATTGCAGGCTAGTTGCCTACAATCTGGGAAGAAGATTGGTGACTGATTTTTTTTCTCCTGGTCCCTAAGTTTACAAACAGCAACAGTGGTTGTGACCCCTCTAAGAGGGGAGGTAATGAAGAAGAAAAATGGGTATTGGAAAGTTCTTATTTGGCTGTTTCTGTGGTGGGATGGGCTACCCACAGTATTTAAAGCTGTCTCTTGCTTGGGTAGAGAGTTACCATATGTTCTTCAGAGTAGGGAGTAGGGAGGACAAGCAAAATTTTTACCATCTTAAAATCAAAATCTTAGTTTTGTTTGTTTGCTCTAAGAACCAACAGAAAATATGTCTCCATCTTAAATGTGACTTGTGTATTTCCAAGAGTATTGCTCTTATTAATTTTGATACTTAAAAAATATCTGGAGCTCTCAGCCAGCATGGCTCAGTGGTTGAGCATTGATCTATGAACCAGGAGGTCATAGTTTGATTCCTGGTCAGGGCTTTCAAATGACCAACTTCAAAATAACTTTGCATTATAGTCCTTCCATGAGTCAGACATGCTTTTATATTTTGTTTTGAACATTTCAAATCAAAAGAAAAAAAGGTAGATAAAGATAAATCACAGAACTACTTATAATCTTTATAATTATACTAGAGGCCTGGTGCACGAATTCATGCATAGGTGGGGTTCCTTGGTCTGGCTGGAGATCAGCGCAGTGGGGTGAGGGTATCACATGAGGTTGGTTTGCTGTGGGGAGGTTGGCTGTGGAAGTGCACCTACAACCAGGGGGAAGCTCCCACATTGAGTGTTTGCCCCCTGGTGGTCAGTGCACGCTATAGTGACCTGTCATTCAGTCAATTAGGCTTTTTTATATAGAGATTATGTTAGTAAACTGATTTGGCCTTAAAGTTCAGTTCATTGTCACAGCTCTTAAAATATCCAAAAAGAACTAAAATAATGAAAATATGCTTAAGAGCTGATGCTATTAGCTACTGTAGGAAAGGTTTTCTGAATTCTATCTACATGTATGATTATTAAACAGAATTTACTGAACTGTCTGGTTTAGGTTGGATATAGTAAATTACTTTAAAATTTTAAGATAGTGTTTATATATGTTCAATTTTTAAATAATCATTTATTCAAGTGTCTGAACTGATATGTAACTAAATTAGTAATCATATTATGAATGCACGGAACTTAGTTATTATGCTGAAACAATCTAATGGGTTGTTTTTATTTGTCTGAGAAGTATGCTCCTCACTACAACCCCTTTTTATTGTTGTTGCTTTTTTGTTTGTTTTGTTACATAGGCAGAAGAAAACCTTGGTATGGTGATGATCTTTACTTTGGTAACAGCTGTCCAAGAAAAATTAAATGAAATAGTGGATCAAATAAAAACTAGAAGAGAAGAAGAAAAAAAACAAAAAGAAAAAGAAGCAGAAGAAGCCGAAAAGGTATATTAAAAGCCATGTTTTTTTCACTATTCTCTAAGTCCGTCCTCCCTCCCTCCCTCCCTCCCTCCCTCCCTCCCTCCCTCCCTCCCTCCCTCCCTCCCTCCCTTCCTTCCTTCCTTCCTTCCTTCCTTCCTTCCTTCCTTCCTTCCTTCCTTCCTTCCTTCCTTCCTTCCTTCTTTTCTTCCTTCCTCACTACTGACAGCAACAGTTTTCTTCTGAATAGTGAAATAGCAATGGTGATATGTTGCATATTATCCGTTTTTTGTAATAAAAATTATAAATGGATTTTTCCAGAAGAAATTGCCAAAACCAATGAGAGTAGCCAGTGCCAGCAGATAATCATATTAAACACTTTAAAACTTAAAACAATTTTTCCTGTAAGTGGCTATATTTGTCTAGAACCGTGGTCGGCAAACTGTGGCTTGCTAGCCACATGCAGCTCTTTGGCCCCTTGGCCCCTTGAGTGTGGCTCTTCCACAAAATACCACGGCCTGGACAAGTCTATTTTGAAGAAGTGGCATTAGAAGAAGTGGCATTAGAAGAAGTTTAAGTTTAAAAAAAAATTTGGCTCTCAAAAAAATTTTCAATCGTTGTACTGTTGATATTTGGCTCTGTTAACTAATGAGTTTGCCGACCACTGGTCTAAAAGAGATAATTAAGTCTTATTTGTTAAATTGTTGTCTCATTTATCTGAAGACCTGTCTTTTTTATTTTCCAAGCAATTATTTCATGGCACTCCTGTTACAATTGAGAATTTCTTAAGTTGGAAAGCCAAGTTTGATGCAGAACTCTTGGAAATTAAAAAGAAACGAATGAAAGAAGAAGAACAAGCAGGAAAAAATAAATTAAGTGGTATGACTCGCCCTATTTCTGTTCCCCTTAAACATTTTGGCATTAGTTCCTATACAGCAAGAGGATCATTTGAACAGATTTCTATAAGACATTTTTTTATCCTCACCCGAGGATATGTTTACTGATTTTAGAGATGAAGTGAGAGTGAGAGAGAGAAACATCGAAATGAGAGAAAAACATCACTTTGTTGCCTCTTGCATCTACCCTAACTGGAGATCAAATCCACAACCTAACTATGTGTCCTGACTGAGAATCGAACCCAAAACCTTTTGGTGCACAAGACTATACTCCATCAACTGAGCCATCCAGCCAGGGCTGTAAGAAAATATACTTGGGCATCCAGGGGGGACAAAAAGCTTTTTCTGTACATGTTGATGTATTTTCACTTGTAATTATAATTAATATTTGTGGATTATCTTTGATCTAAATGTTGCATACAATGTTAGATCTTGAGATACAGCTACCATGACTTCCAGGATTGTAAGCCTTAGAAGTGAGAGAGTCACATTTGTTTTTCAAGGACTTGAGGCAGACTAGGTTATCATTGTTCTATTTTAATGCAAATACATTTTATATGCCTTTTAGCTCAGTTCATAAATTTATTGAAATTTACAGAATAACAGATTTTCAGATTTTTTTCCTGGAGGGTTGTAGAAGATGGAGGAAAACTATGCTCTTCAAATTAAACAGATTTATTTCTTTTAGGGAAACAGCTATTTGAAACAGATCATAATCTTGACACATCTGATATCCAGTTCTTGGAGGATGGTAAGATAATATTAGAATTCCACATGTATATATTATACTGTTTTTAATATTAAACCATGAAAATCAGAGTAATAATAAATCTTCCCTCCCAAAGGTATAAAGAAATACATTTGAAGAATAAATTCTAATGTTTGATAAATTTGTACATAAACTAAAGCAATATAGTCTTTAAAGTTTTCTGATAACTTAAACAAAATCAAAGATAGCAATAGATAAACAATTATTATCACATTAGCTTCTAACAACTTCAGCAATCATCAACTTTGTATGACCAGGACATATCATTGTCTTCAGTTTGTCACATGCCACATCATAAGTAATTTATTCTAGAGGCTTTTTTTATAATTGGATTTTCTTAGACTATGAACTGGAAGCACCAAGTTGTTAAAATGTGTGAGTCTGCTGACCGTGACAGACCATTGTTGGCCTGTAATGATTTGCAATAGCAATTTAATATTTCATCACCTCCGTTGCATGTGGAGAAGTTTGTATCTTTCATTCTCAAGTATAAGACTGAAGATGAAATCTTTTTTTTTTTTTTTTTTTTTGCAGCTGGAAACAATGTGGAGGTAGATGAGTCTTTGTTCCAGGAAATGGATGACTTGGAGCTGGAGGATGACGAGGATGATCCAGACTACAATCCTGCTGACCCAGAGAGCGACTTGACCGATTGATGGACCATCCCGTCTGCAGAGGCTTGACTGCCACAGCATCTGTGGCTAGGCCGGGAGGGTGTTGATTTTCCTTCCTTTTTTTCTAAGAAAAACAAAACAAAACAATTTTCAGGAGAATATTCTTCTGAAAGCTTTCATCAATGAACTAATAAACTGACCTTAAAATTTCAAATATAAAATGTTCAATTCCTCTAATTTGTGGGAAGAAGCTCACGTACAGTTAAACTTCATTTCTCAAACGTCTGCCATCTTGAACAATTGGGTTCTCAACTAAATTGTTCACAGAACTAACGTTGAATCACATCTTGGTTTTCCACCTGGCAACCTTTTCATGCTGATACCTCACCATAATAAAGTGCTCGGGCAACAAACAAAGGAGAGAAATAAACATTAGCTCAATTGTAAAGCATAAAGAGTGCTAATGTTGCTAAGGGTGTGAAAGAAAATGATTTCGGGCAATTGAAGAAGTAGAAAAACTTGTTTTGGATATATGAAAAGCAGTCAGTCAGTGGCAGCATTTCGGAGGCAGTGACAAGCAAAGATATTGCATGCTGTTCTGAAAGACACCTCTGGGCCCAGTGCCAAAAGTGACTTAAGGCTGGTAGGGGCTGTTTTGATAAATTTAAGAAAAGAAGTCTTTATAGATTAAACAGTACATTATATATATATATATATATATATATATATATATATATATATATATATATGAAAGGTTAAGACGGATTCATTTGGGGGTCTGGAATGGATTAATTCAATTTACATAATTTCTAATGGGAAACAATGATTCGGTTTTCAAACAAATCACTTCTCCCACAGCCCTCTGGAATGAATCAAGTTCGAGAACTGAGGTACCACTGTATTTTAAACCATTTCGTGTTTGAAAGAGATCTTCCTATACCTTCAGACTAGAATATAGACTGCTGCTATGCCTAGGTGTGGTTTTATATACAAGGAATTGGGATAACTCATTGACTTTTGAATTCTAAGCGTTGTCATTCATACACGTACATTATTAGAAGACTGAAGTGAATAGAGTATTAAACTTTCTGAGTTTTAGCCTTTGGATATGATAAATTTACGTCTCAACAAAACCAGAAGCACATATTATAGTCAGGAATAAAATGGACTAGTCATATTTGAATCAGAACCATCTGTGGGGTTCTTAAAGTGTGTACTTTTAGTCCCTTCTCAGTTTAAGTTAATAAACTCTGAGCCTCAATCTGAATCTTAAAACTGAACTCTCATGCCAGTGACTCTGGTTGTGAAGCACACTGTCCTGCAGTTAAATCTGTATGTTGTGATGTTCCAATTGTCCAGTCTGAAGGGTTCTGAATTCTGGGGGTTGTACACTGTTTACAAGAGAACCATACTCCACATCCATGCACATGTGAGATCTTCAGAATAATTTGAAATGATTGACTTGGGAATTCCAGGTAGAAGAGTCAGGCTTCATGCAAGTTAGCCATTCACTGCAGATTTGGAGGATTGAATCTTCACCTCAATGAGAAATCACTTGTGCGATTGATTGCAAATAGCTGCCTCCATTCAAAAGTATATATACCATATAACCACAAACACAGCACTGTCAATTCCATGTTTATATTTGGAGTCAGCCCTTATGATTAAAACAAATCATTTAAGACAAAGGTATCACTGAGGAACTTAATACTTTTCACCAACTTGATCCCGACCGACACAAGGGAATGATTGATAGTCATGGTCAGCATTTCTATGCAGAGAGAAGTCCAAAAGTTTGTGTTATGTGAGGTTTTGCTTTTCCTAAGGAGATTCTTTTTGAAGCTGATCAGCAGTGTAAGAATCTAAAAGAGCAATTCTATTAAAATTAAGAAAAGTGGAGGTCAATGAAGACTTGACTCCACTTCTCCCATGCCCGTGATTTTTTAAAGTTTTAAGCTGTATACGTTTTCTGCAGGTGTCAGAGTGGATTGCCAACTTTGTCATTTCAGAATGCCATTTTCAGAATTAGGCAGAACCCAATGATATATATGACAATGAAGACAAGCTCGTTAGTTCTAATGATACTTCTAAGTATTGCTATCCAAGTAAATATCAACTTTACTGTTGGCTCTGTATTCTGTAAATTATCCAAAGACTCTGGTTCCCAAAATGGAGCATACATCTTACCTAAGGTAAGTGCCTCATTTCCCTCAGCCTCATACCTGGTAGATCAAAAGGCATCAGGGTTCACTGGCCTCTATCCTCAACATCATTAGGTAGAAAGGCTGGAGGTGAAACCATGTTGAACTATCAGGTAGGGTGTCTTTGCATAAATAAAAGTGCTCAGAGAATAGGCAAAATGAAGTCATTATTGCTAACCCCATGCAGACAGGTAAACTAAAGCAATTAAGAACCTGAAAACACTGGAATGTGGGCTACTGCCACATGACCCAAGATGTTAAAAAGTAAGTTAGTGGTTTTGACCATAACAGTTCAGACATATCTAAATGGATATAATCATTAAGTAATCCTTCTAATGTGATGGTATCCTTAAGATTGATTCTTACAGAACTTAGTCTATTTTGAAGATATGCATCTGAATATTTTTCACCTATACTTTTAAGGTAGTTTTTTAAAAGAACATCCTTTTAATTGGATGTATCTTCTGACATCTAAATTTTGTTTTTAAAATATCAGAGCCATCTCTATCTAAAGACCCCTAACACATTAGAATCTGCTACTTAAAAGATGTGTGTTTTTAAAGGTAAATATTAATTTGATATCTCTTCTCACTATTAACCTTACGGGATTCTATTTGAGATAGGAACTGCCTCTGTGCACATGTATTTTTATGTGGGGAAGTTGAGGTTTCTGTTTCTGATATTGGTGCTCAATTGATGATGAACAGGCATATGTTGATCCTGCCCCAGGGAGCTTAAGCACATGGGAAAGTGAAGATTTAATACTTAATATTTTAGTTCACTATTGAAATTTAAAATATTACTTAGTATGAAAATATAGCTGGTTCTAGTAAAAAAGAGTGAGAATTGGGATAATAGCCCTTCTACTAACATTGGGAGCTTGAAAAACATTCACTTGTGGAGGTTTTAATATGAAAATCCATTTTAATAGGAAAATTAATAAACATGTTCAAAATTGATCAGTTACTAGCAAAGTTCTTTCCAGGGCTTTGTCTACAGATTCGTACATCTTTCCTATCTCACTATATTCCACCTGTTTTACCCAAGTCATGTGGAAGAAATAATACGCTTTAGAGGTTAGTGCCCTTATCAAAGAGGCCCTGGCAAGCTCACTGGCCCATCTGAGGTTATGTGAGGTTATGTGAGGTTATGTGAGGTTAACTAACCATGTGAGGTAACAGTGAGAAGACAGCCAAGGAAGCAGGTTCTCATCAGACATGAATCAGCTAGTATCATAACCTTGGATCTCCCAGCCTGTGAGAAATAGATGTCTGTTGTTTGTAAGCTTCCCAATCCAGGGTATTTTGTTACTGCAGCCTGAATAGACTAAGACAAATACTCTATATTCTGCCATTATTTCATAAAGTCTAATTTGAGGGAAAAAGATTACTTAGCAATTCAGGTAGCAACTTCCTTCCACTGCAGTTGCACAAATGCTGCCCACCATTTGCATCTATAGCAGCAAAACTGCTTCAATTAGAACAATTCTGATGGGCATCTTAGCTCCTGAGCTGTGTGTGGTTTTTGTCTGTTTGTTTGCTAACTACTTTGCAGTCCAACTTTTCCCTCTGCCCATTCATGCTTCCTTCACTCTGTCACAGCTGTTGTTCTTGAGTGTACTTTGCGTGTCTGCATACAAATCTCAGTCTGTTTCCTGAGAGAACCTAACTTAAAATATCTCACAAAATGGTTTAAACAGAATAAAACAAAATGACTTAGAACAGCAATGGTGCAGAACGGCTGAGAGCAGAGTTTGGGGGTAGCTGACCATGCCCTTGGCTACTCATAGACTCCAGGTGTTGCTAGGGAAGTGGTTCTGGGAGGGGCTGGGAGTGTGTAGGAGCATTTTTGCTTGTCACAATATATCAGGGTGGGCAGAAGCCAGAGACACTAGGCATTTTCTAGTGTGAGGACACTTCATGAACAACCTTTGAATCCCGCATGCATTTCTAATGTTCCTCTGGACATTCGTGGCTGTCCAAACCCCATATAACTACATTAGAAAACAGTGTTGTGGAAAAACAGAGGTGTGGTGGGTATGATAAGGTTTAGATTTTTTTCTAGAATATAAAGAAATTCGATTAAGCTCCTGTAACAGGTGACGTGCTAAGAGAATCTGAGAAAAGACCTCGGGTCAGGATAAAGAGGCTCCTGAATAGGAAGAACTTGAGACTCTTGGGAAAGCAAGACCCATGTCACCAGCAGTAGCTGCCAGTTTCATGCAACAGACCCCCGTGCTGGAGTCCAGGGGGAATGAGAGGCGTCTCGGTGGAGGTCTGCAAAGCTCCAGGAAACAGAGCATTGGCCAGAGGAGAAGAGCCTCCCCTCACCAGCATGTGGACACTAAGCTTCCCTGTCATAAGCCCGTTTGGGAAGGAGAACTTAGACCAGTTGAGAGGGGAGAAACAGCCTTGACAGGAGGTTTCAATAGCCATTAAATGTACACGCCACTGTTTAACAATGAAAGAGACATGTGATCTTTATAGGTTTAAATTATTTTTATAGTGAGAAGGAGGATTTGAGAATAAGATGAGATGAGTTATAGATAATAGAAAATAACCTTTGCCCCCACAAACTGCTGAGCAATAAGTGTCATCCTTTTACTGGATTGTAGGAGAATTAAGACTATAATTAAAACCTTGGCTTGAGTTTGAATCAGTGCTAGGAGGTGAATTCTAGGGAACAAATCCTTTAGGTAATGGGTAAGCATAGAGAATACTTCAAAAAAGACACCTGAGAATATGGGAATCATGTAGGTCCTGCAGTTACACTTTAAGAATATTGACTGGCTGAGACCGGTTTGGCTCAATGGATAGAGCGTCAGCTTGGGGACTGAAGGGT